CCAAACCCTCGATACCCGCCCTCTTCGTCTTCGATCGAACCCCTTTTGGGGGGTATACCTATCTTTCCCTGCAGGCCGGGCCCAGGCAAGCGGTGGGGCGGCCGCGGACCGTCGGCCTGGCCAGCGGCAGCGCTGATCGGCGGGGCGGCCGCGGACCGTCGACCCGATCCCAAGAAGGACGCACAGGGGACCGACCACGACGACGACGACGACGACGACGACGACGACGACGACGACGACGACGACGACGACGACGACGACGACGACGAGCGAAAGCGAGAGCGAGAGAGAACGACACAGGGCCACGAAGGACACGAAGTAGGCCACGAAGGGCGACAGCGGGGACACGAAGGGAATGCGTATGGGGCCACGAAGAGCGCGAACGAGCGGGGGCCACGAAGGGCAGATAATGCGGGGCCACAGAAGGCAACGATGGGGCCACTGAGGGTAGCAACTGGCCACGTAGGACAAAGAGGGGGCCACAAACGGCGACAGCGGGGCCACGAAGGGCATGCACATGGGGCCACAACGGGAACGACTCATGGGTACCTGGGTGTCGGGAGCGCGGCGCTTGAGCAAATTGCAAAAAAAAAAAAAAAAAAAAAAACGCAAGGGCGCTATTCTTCGGTAAATTGCAAGCAAGTCTCCAGCGAGAGCGCGACTCCAGAGCGCCGGGAGAGCGATTCCTGAATATCCCAAGCGAGAGCGCGATTCTTGAATAAAATGCAAGAAAATCTCGAGCGGGAGCGGGGGTCCTGACTAAATTGTGAGGAAGTCTCAGGCGGGAGTCCATGTTGTTGTAACCCAGGGGCCAGGGGCACAGTTTGAGCATCAAGACTTCCCCAATCAAAAAACAGGGTACGAGCGTCGAGCGGCACACTTTGATTGAGAAAAAACCGTGTGCACTGGTGGGAGGGGTCAACGATAGTTATTTTTCAAAAATGAAAATTCAACAACAACAACAACAACAACAACAACAACAACAACAACAACAACAACAACAGCAACAACAACAACAACAATAATAACAACAGCAGCAACAACAACAATCATTTTAAGACTGTTCGCTCGTCTGTTCGAGTGTAATTCAAAGTGTATTTCCCAAACCCTCGATACCCGCCCTCTTCGTCTTCGATCGAACCCCTTTTGGGGGGTATACCTATCTTCCTTGCAGGCCGGGCCCCGGCAAGCGGCGGGGCGGCCGCGGACCGTCGGCCTGGCCAGCGGCAGCGCTGACCGGCGGCAGCCCGACACCAAGAGGGACGGACAGGGGACCGACCACGACCACGACGACGACGACGAAGACGACGATGACGACGACGACGACGACGACGACGACGACGGCGGCGACGGCGACGACGACGACGGAGACGAGCGAAAGCGAGAGCGAGAGCGAGAGCGAGAGCGAGAGCGACAGCGGGGCCACGAAGGACAGGAAGGGAGCCACGAAGAGCGACAGCCGGGCCACGAAGGGCATGCATATGGGTCCACGGAGGGCGCGAACGAGCGGGGGCCACGAAGGGGGGCCACAGCAGGCAACGACGGGGCCACTGAGGGTAGCAACGGGGCCACGTAGGACAGCGAGGGGGCCACAAAGGGCGACAGCGGGGCCACGAAGGGCATGCATATGGGGCCACGACGGGCGCGAACGAGCGGGGGCCACGAAGGGCATACGTAGAGTGGGCCGCAGAAGGCAAAGACGGGGCCACGAAGGGCTGCAACGGGGCCACGAATGGCAGCGAGGGGGCCACGAAGGGCGACAGCGGGGCCACGAAGCACATGCATATGGGGCCACGACGGGCGCAACCGAGCGGGGTCCACGAAGGGCATACATATATGAGGCCACGAAGGGCAGCGAGGGGGCAACGAAGGGCTGCAACGGGGCCACGAAGGACAGCGAGGGGGCAACGAAGGGCCGCAACGGGGCCACGAAGGGCAGCGAGGGGGCCACGAAGGGCTGCAACGGGGCCAAGAAGGGAAGCGAGGGGGCCACGAAGGGCTGCAACGGGGCCACGAAGGGCAGCGAGGGTGGCCACGCAGGGCTGCAACGGGGCCACGAAGGGCAGCGAGGGGGCCACTGCACGACGGGCTGCAACGGGGCCACGAAGGGCAGCGAGGGGGCCACGAAGGGCTGCAACGGGGCCACGAAGGGCAGCGAGGGGGCCACGAAGGGCTGCAACGGGGCCACGAAGGGCAGCGAGGGGGCCACGAGAAGGGCTGCAACGGGGCCACGAAGGGCAGCGAGGGGGCCACGAAGGGCTGCAACGGGGCCACGAAGGACAGCGAGGGGGCCACGAGGGGCTGCAACGGGGCCACGAAGGGCAGCAACGGGCCACGGGGCCACGAAACTGGAGGGCTGCAACGGGGCCACGAAGGGCAGCGAGGGGGCCACGAAGGGCTGCAACGGGGCCACGAAGGACAGCGAGGGGGGCCACGCAGGGCTGCAACGGGGCCACGAAGGGCAGCGACGGGGCCACGGAGGGCTGCAACGGGGCCACGAAGGGCAGCGAGGGGGCCACGGAGGGCTGCAACGGGGCCACGAAGGGCAGCGAGGGGGCCACGAAGGGCTGCAACGGGGCCACGAAGGGCAGCGAGGGGGCCACGGAGGGCTGCAACGGGGCCACGAAGGGCAGCGAGGGGGCCACGAAGGGCTGCAACGGGGCAACGAAGGGCAGCGAGATCCCGATTCACAAGTAAGCAGTAGGGGACTCCCAAGCGTGAGCGCCACTCCCGGGTGCATGAGTGTCGGGAGCGCCGCGCTTGAGTAAAATTTCAGGGAACTCCAAAGCAAGAGCGCGACCCTAGAGCAATTTGCAAGCAACTCTCCAGAGAGAGCGCGACTCCAGAGCGCCGAGAAAGCGATCCCTGACTAGAATTGTAAGGAAGTCCCAAGCGAGAGCGCGATTTCTGAGTAAAATGCGAGGAGGTCTCAGGCGGGAGCAGGGGTCCTGGCTAAATTGAAAGACAGTCTCAGGCGGGAGCCGTTGTTGTTGTTTTCCGGGGGCCAACAACGCAGTTTGAGCCGAATGGCTTTCCTTGATAAAAGCAGGGTGCGAGCCTCGAAGGAAGCACTTCAATTGAAAAACACAATGGCTACTGGGGGTGGGATCAACAGGGATTCTTCTTAAGTCGTGAGAGCTAAACAACAGCAAAAGCCAACACCTGGACAACAACAATAACAACAACAACAACAACAACAGCAGCAGCAGCAGCAACAACAACAACAATCATTTTAAGACTGTTCGCCCTTATCTGCTCGAGTGTCGAATAACGCGAATTTCCCAAACCCTCGATACCCGCCCTTTTCGTCTTCGATCGAACCCCTTTTGGGGGGTATACCTTTCTTCCCTGCAGGCCGGGCCCCAAGGCATGAACGATTCTTGCCCCGGTGCGGTGCCGGTACGGTGCCGGTGCCGGTGCCGGTGCCGGTGCCGGTGCCCGGTGCCGGTGCCGGTGCCGGTGCCGGTGCCGGTGCCGGTGCCGGTGCCGGTGCCGGTGCCGGTGCCGGTGCCGGTGCCGGTGCCGGTGCCGGTGCCGGTGCCGGTGCCGGTGCCGGTGCCGGTGCCGGTGCCGGTGCCGGTGCCGGTGCCGGTGCCGGTGCCTGTGCCGGTGCCGGTGCCGGTACCGGTGCCGGTGCTGGTGCCGGTGCCGGTGCCGGTGCCGGTGCCGGTGCCGGTGCCGGTGCCGGTGCAGGTGCCGGTGCCGGTGCCGGTGCCGGTGCCGGTGTCGGTGCCGGTGCCGGTGCCGGTGCCGGTGGCTGGTGCCGGTGCCGGTGGCTGGTGCCTGTGGCCGGTAGCCAGTGCTGGTGCCAGTATATTGGTGCCGGTGGCGAGTGGCCGGTGGCCGGTGGCCAGTGCCAGCAGTGCCGGTGCCGGTGCCGGTGCCGGTGGCCGGTGCTTGTGGCCGGTGCCGGTGGCCAATGGCCCGTGGCTGGGGCTGGTGCCGGTGCCGGTGCCAGTGCGCGGTGCTGGGTGTCGACACCAGCACCGCTGGCACCGGCACCGGCACTGGCCCCAAGACGGCCCACACAGAGAAGGATCCAAGACGACCCAAGGGGGCTCCAAGATGGCCAGGGAGGGACCCAAAAGGACACCAACTCGGCCCAAGGAGGTTCTCAGACGGCCCTGAAGGCCTCCAGAGAGCCTCAAGACGACCCAGAAAACCCACCAAGACGGACTCCGAAAACGCCAGACGGCCGCGCCAGGGGGCCCCAAGGAGCTTCCGAAGTTCCCCCCCGCGGGACGCTGCCAAGACGCCACGGAGTCCCCAAGGCCCGAGGTGTCACGCGTGACGGCCTCCCGTGCCCCCTCGCACACTCGCAATCAAGAATGCTAGGGTGACACGGTGGCGGGACTTGCCGCAAGCACCTCCTCCTCCTCCCCTTCCTCCTCCTCCTCCTCCTCCTCCTCCTCCTCCTCCTCCTCCTCCTCCTCCTCCTCCTCCTCCTCCAACTCATCGTCATCACCTTCCTCGTCGTCGTTTTCCTCCTCGAAATCTACGCGCCTATGAGCGGGCGAGTCGGGACAGGCGGGCGGACCCTAAAGGACGGTCGGGCGAATCGGGCGGGCTGACTTTAACGGGCGGATCGGGCGGGGCCCGAAAGTGGGGGGGGCATCATTGACTGGCGGGCGGGGCCCTAAAGTGGGCGGGGCCCTAAAGTGCGGGGGGCATCATCGACGGGCGCGGGGGCCGTTCCCCAGGGGAAGGGCATTCTTGAATCATAGAAGTGCCTGGGTGGACTAGTTCAAACATGACTTACGCGCGACATATGCCAAAGCACGCGTTGCAAAACGTGCGCAGCATGCACGTAATTCTGCAGATCTGAAGCTACATGCTACTCAGGTGTGGGCGAGCTGGACAGATCCAGCCCTGGAGTCTCCAACTCCGCCTGATCTAGCGCGCTCGAACTCGAGCTCTAGTGTTCCTGCTTAAAATACGTATGAGCGGGCGCATGCGGGCAAAGCAAAACTGATCTTATAGAGGTTTTCCGACTCATCCTACTAAGCCTGATGAGGCTCGACGCTCCATCCCCCCTCTGCTTGGCCCCTCCGCCTGCCCCCAACCCCCCCGCCCAATGCAAGCCGCCAGGCGGCGTGCTCGGAGCTGGCGGGCGCAAGCCCTGCGAAGCGCCCATCGCGACCGGCTCCGCGGCGCCAGAAGCACTGGGCGTCAGGGGCAGCGCCGGCGTCACTCGCCCGGGCGCCGCGCGAAGGCGGGGGCTGCGCGGGGGGGCCGGCCGCGCGGCTCGGCGTCGCGTCAGCGAGATGCGGGCGCCCCTCGTGGAACTGGGCGCGCTTCTGTGACAGCTGCCTCAGTGACACGCGGCAGCAGCGCATGAGCTCGCTGTGGAAGAGCGCCCTCCCAAGTTCTGAGTCGGGCCAGACCTTGAGAAACACCTCGCCGTTCTGCTCCTGGCACTCCCCCAGGCGCGGGAACTGCTCGAAGGCCGCCTTAAGCACCGCCACCGCTTCGGGCTTGGACGGGCGCGCTCGCCTCTTCCGCTTTGCGGGGGCCTCTTGGTCCGACACGGCCACGCTGTAGAGGTCGACGCAGGCGTTCACGGAAATCTGGCTTTTCCCGGTCAGGAGCACACGACGGATGAGCTCTCTGTCCTTGAAAGCTGCCTTCGTGAAAACCATGGCCCCCCCTTCGCCAAGGCCCTGATTGTCGAATTGCGCCTCGCCCGCCAAGTCCGCGAACGTCAGCGCGCGCTCGCCCGAGCCCGGCGCCTCGCCTCCTGTCGGGGGGGCACCGGCCAGATCGCTCTCCGCGGCGCCCGGACTGGCGGGCTGCGAGACGTCGACATTGCCGCCGCCAGCCCGCGCGGCAGGGCGCGCAACGTCAGCCACCAGGCCGCCAGCGGGAACCGGGCCCTGGGGCGCCGCCGGGCAAGCTGGCACCTGCGTGGAGAGCGGCGCGGCGTACGCATGAGGGTGATAGTGACCCCGAACAGGGCGCGCCAAACGCCCTGGCTCGTTGTCGCCGTCGCTCTCGCCGTCGGCAGCGTCGCCTGCGGGCGCGCAATTCAAGGAGGGAGGGGGTCGACCTGGCCTAACACCTCCTCCTCCAACACCCGAATCCTAAGACCCCCACCCTAACCCCCATAACCCTGACACCCTGACCCGAACCCTAACACCCTCACCCTGACGCACGAACCCTGGCCCCACAACACCGAACCCCTCAAACCCTAACCCTGGCACAGTAACCCTATCACTAACCGTGCCCCTAACGCGCTGACGCTAGCACCATACCATAACCCCAACACACTAACCCTAACACCTTAACCCTAAGACCCCCCCCCCCGAAACTGAACCCTGACCCCGCCTAAACCCGAGCGCGCTAGCCCTAACCGTAACGCTCGAAACCTAACATCCTTAGCTTTTCACCATAACCCCACCACCTTCACCCCAGCACCACAATCAAAACACCGTTACCCTAACACCCTGACGCGAACACCCTAACCGCACCCTAATGCGAACCCGAAAAAAGCCCGAGCACCGTATCCATGGCCCCAGTCATATCATTCAAGTTCTAACGCACCCTGGCCCAAACCTTAATACACCAACCGTGACGCCCTCACCCGAACCCTGACACTCGAACCCTAACTCCTTACCCCTTACACCCTAACCCGAACACCCTTGCTCTCGCCATAGCACCCTGGCCCCAACGCCCGAACCCTACCACACGTTTCCTCACACCCTGACTCTAACCGAACATCCACACCCCCTAAGTCGAACACCCTAACCCTCACACCCTCACCTGAACACAACACCCGAGCCCGAACATCCCAGTCCCAAACCTAGCACCCTGGCCATAACACCTTAGCCCAACCACGAACACCCTAGACCGAACCATAAGCCCGAAACCCAAACACCCTAACCCTTACACCCTCACACCCTCTCACTAACATCCTAACCCTGAATCCAAAGCCCCATGAACCTAACTCAGACACCGTAACGCACTAATCCTGACACCCTAACCCAAACACCCGAAACCCGCTCCTTTCACCCACACCCTCACCCCAACACACTGACCCAAGCCGGGGCCCGCGCACGACCATTCCGCATTCCCCAATCAGAGCTTGCCTCTGTAGGGGTCCTAGCGGATTCATATGGTTAGGTGAGGTGGGGCGCCGATTACGGTGGCAGGGGGCCGGGTGCCCGGGTGCCCCGATGCCCGGGTGCGTCGTCGCCGATTTCGGTGGCCAGGCCAGGGTGCCTGGGTGCCCAGGAACCTTATAGCCCCATAGCACAATCGCCATATAGTTCGATCGCCTTATATTCCTATAGTGCCCTATAGACCTATAGCCCTCTTGCCCTCTTGCCCTATTGCCCTATAGCTCTTTAACCCTATAGCCCTATAGCCCTTTAGCACTATAGCATTATAGTCCTGTAGCCCTATAGTGCCCTTTAGCCCAATGGCCCAAATAGCGCATATAACCTTGTATATATAGCCCTATAGCATAATAGCCCTATAGCCCAATAGCCCTATAGCACAATAGCCCTATAGCCCTATGGCCCCACAGCCCTATAGCACTCTAGCCCGAGAGCCCTATAGACCTCTAGCCCAGCAGCCCAATAGACCATATAGCCCATCTAGCCCCATACCCTCATAGCCCCATAGCCCCAAAACAATAGGATTGGGCTTTTCTCCGGTATATATGTTGATGCGGATGGGGCGTCGGCTCTGCCTTTGCAAAGAAGCCAGGTGCACCGTCTTCGTCCAGAGCAGCTCGCCATATGGTCCGGATGGCAATGCTGATGTCGAGCATGCGCCTGGCGCACTGGACGTGCTGGGTGGCGATGAGCGGCAACCCCGAGGCCGCGTCCAAGGTGCCCCCGCCTCCAGAGTAATCCAGCGCGGCAACGAGAGCAGCCTGAACGCCCTGCTGGCCCGCGGCGTTGGCCTCCAGCGCAGCCAAAGTAGGATCGTCGTCTCCTCGGGTGGCGAAAAACGTGCAACCCTAGATGCGTGCGCAACCTGGGGTGAAGGTTCCTGGGGAAACCTAGATGTGCAACCCCAGGTGAACCACCTGAAAAATTACACGTGCAATCAAGGGTGAAGGTTCCTTCCTACGTCGAAAAACAACGAACGAAAGATGCGCAACCACGCATGACGGTTGTCGAAAACCGAAATGAGCGCAACCCAGGGTGATGGTCTCGTGGCAAGGAGAAACCTGCACCCCAGGTTGCACTCGCAGCTGGGGTTGAACGTTTTTGGCTCTCTGATCTCCTCGCAACTGCGCGCGGATGCTCTGTGCCACTTGGTTGCCCGTCATGATATTGCGCGCCTCCTCCTCGAACGGCAAGATCGCCTGCGGCTTCTTGGCGAAAAGCTCTGCAACCCTCCTGGCCCCCGCTTGGATGTGGCCCGTGGGGTCCGGCAGGTCCCCCCTGTTAGAAATTCGGAACTCGGTCCGCAACTGCGCGTCGCCTACGTCGGACGGGGCAACCCGCAGGTATCGCAACCGGGACTCCTCGCCATCTGGGAACTCCACCTTGTATCCGCCAGCCGGGCCCACGAAACTGCGAGCCTGGGAATTTGCTGCCGACGCCTCGCCCGTCTCGGTGTCCCTCTCCAAATACTGGGCCGCGGCCTCAGGGGCGTCAAGGTATGTCTCCCAGTTGAACGTCTGCGCCTGCTGGGGGGCGAGCGGCAGCCACGCCCACGCGGAGACGCCGCGCGGGAGGCGACTCCCCGCGGGCAGCGCAGCGTGGCGCGCAGCGGCCTGGTCAATGCAGGCGACGAAGCGCTCATTAGTGCACGCCGTGTGGTTACCCACGATCCCCCTGCCCATGGCTATGAATTTCCCAGGATGTCCGTTGCCGAGCAGAGACACCGAGACGCGTTTGCAGCGAGACTCGCCAAAGGTCGCGCTTGTGCGAGTTGCCCGTCTCGTCTTGCCACTAGCGATCAAAGTGTTCAAGGTGGACGCGTGGACCGTCGGCGCCCGATCCTTCTCTCCTCCTCCTCCACCTCCTCCTCCGCGGCCGGTAGCGAGAAGGCCGAGGCCGTCCCAGAACGCGCACGCCTCGTCTAGATTGAACGCCCTGCCGCCCCACACATCTGATTGCCTGAACTCGGCAACCCGCCCGTCGCCCTCCGAAAAATCAACGAGGGGAAAGCTGCTGGAGCACCGGTAAAAGAATTCCGTGAAAGTGAGCTTTGGAGACAGATAGTCTTCACGGTCACGGGGGGGCCCTCGTCGAGGAGCGAGTCGACGTGCTCGCCAATGACGTCGTCGTGTCGAAGATCTCCTCGCACACACTGAAAAGCTGGCTCTTCCCCGCCTGTGCGTTCCCTATCTGGAACACTGGTGCAATTAATGGAGTGGGCTTCTGGCTCCACATCTTGACGGCGGCGCCATTTGTAAGAGCCGCCATGGAGCCTCCAACCATCAAGGCGCTCGTGTAATACCCTTGGCACGTTGTGTTAACGATGGGCCCCAAGAACTCGCGCACCTTAGGGGGAGGTGCTCCGCCGGGCTGAACTCACTGGCGACGCGAGCCATCGCCCTCGCAAAGAATTTCTTCACCTGCTTCTGGGACAGACTCTCCGTGTTCTTCCCTGCCATGGCCGCGCACTGCGCGACGGCGCGGTCGCGTCGCGAGTATGACCCGCAGGACTCGCTGCGGCAATCCCACGAAGGGGGGCCTTTGAGCCAGGGCGCTGCGTGCGAGGCTGGCAGATGGAACCTCGCAGCGGGGCAGCGAAGCTGGGGCCTTTGTCTCGCCTTCGAATCGGCATCTTCGCGCGGGTGCAAAAGCAGCGGCCCGACCTCCTCGCGCCCGCCGCGTCAGATCGATGGGCCGTCATGGGCCGTCTGCCACGCTTTTTTTCACGATCGGCCAAATTCCCAAAACCTGCGGGGGGGCGGATAGCCCCGCTGCACGCTCCAAAACCGCGCCCGAGGCCCTGGCTATTGCAGGGCGACGGAAAGCACGACGCGCGCAGCGAAACTCCCACGGCCTCCAGAAATCTCCAAGACAGGGCCGCGAAGCTCTGAGGAAGCCCCAGGAGCTTTCGAGTGCATTTTCGCCCCTCGCCCCATCCCTTCCCCCGTCGCACCCCGCGCCCCTCGCCCGACCCATGATCCGAACGTTGGCAGGAAGGAGAGGCCGCGAGAAGCCCCGTGCATCAGAGCTGTCTCGGCTTCTTCTCGGCCGAGGCCGAGGCGGCCTCGCTCGCCCGAGCTACCTTCCTGGCGGCAGTGGCCTGGGCGCCCCTCATGCGACCCAGCGTCTTCATGTTCAACGCGCCCACCATCTCTTGCACGTAGAACTGGGAGGCCCACCGGCCCACGTGGTGGATCACGTGGCCCAGCGGGGACAACTCGCAGTTCATGATTTCGCAGATGTTTGTGGGGAACTTGCTCAACAAGGCTGTTGGCCTCCAGCCCCGGCAGGCAATGTTCGCTGCACCACTTGCCCACGTGCCCGCTGGAATGGTAATCGTCGACAATGTAAGCCGCCTCGGTTGCCAGCCGCGCAGCCACGGCGGCGCCCTCCCCGTTCTTCTCCGCCATGAGGCGCAGGTGGCACGCGTCGTCGTGGACGACAATCTTGAGGTCGGGCATGTGGGCCGCCACTATGGCGAGGAATCGGTACCGCTGGCTGAGGGGCTCAGCGCACATGAGCTCTTCCACGTGCGCCAGAATGCCAGACGCAGATACGGCCGTCAGGAAGCCCGCTGCGGGGGCGGCTGCAACGATGCGCGCGTCCGTCTCCTTGCGCGTGGAACACTCGGAAGCGGCGCGCGGCCCGTTCGAGCTCCAGGATGTCATGAAGCTCTTTTCTTTGCGCCCTTTCTTGCCAGCCGCGCCCTGCTTTCGAAGCGCCACGCGGCGAGCCCGGCGCGCTTGGATGCGCGCGTCAGCCCCAGTGCCGAAATACGAAGCCAGCGCATCTGGAGAGACAGCGCACGCGGGCTGCCAGCGACGCGCAAAGCCTTTCAGCTGCACCTCCAGGGGGAGCCAATCATCTGGCCCATGCAGGGCTCGGCGCAACCGGCGGTTGCATACAGTCTCGTGCGGCGCCGGCGGGTCAGCCACTAACGCCTTGGCACGCTTGCAGCACATCGCCCCCTTCCCATGCGGACGGTCCGGGCACCCTCGCAAAAGGTATTTGTCCAGCTCGGCGCAGTAGACCACGTGAGAGAAAGGCATGCCGCACGTTCGGCGGTACAACTTGGCGCTGCCATCGATGGCAAGAATGTCTGTGCGGTCTCCAGACAAACGGACCTGCTCCAAACGCCGGCGGAACATCAACGGCCCGTACCAGCGCCAACTCTTCTGCACCAGGGCCTCAACGGAGAGACACAGCAAAACTTTTGCCAACTCGTCAAATTTCTCGGGTGCCCCCTTCTGGCATCGCTTCCACAAAAGATGCCGCACCCAAGTGGAACTCAAGTTCGTCCTTGCCCGCGCGAGCACGCCTGGGCCGTGCATCATGCGGAAGATGGCAGCCTCGCCCATGAAGGAGGAACGGTGAACCAACAGGCGGTACCGCCACTTCCGCAGCCACAAAACGGAAACGCCGAAACTCTTTGACAACAGCCAAAAATCCCGATGACTGAAATCAGCATCGAGACGTTTCTTGTACGCCCTGGCGTCGCCGGGTACAGGCTCTTCTAGGAAACCGCACCAATACCGTGTTCGGCGCCTCACCTCTTTTGTCTGGCCGTTGGCAGTCTGCACCGTCATCACATCGAAACAACGGGAACACCACCGGGTATAACAGCCCAAATGACACAGCACATTGTGAGTGAATCAACGTTGGGTGAAACAGTTGGCTGTCCTTCGTGGCCCCAAACGCAGCACTGGAAAGGCGTTGCGTTTCAAAGCCATGGCCTCCAGTACGCCTGGCCGTCTGTGTGCCACGTCCACTTGAGGCCCTCCTCCGCGGCCCAGCGTTGCCGCAGCTCCAAGCTGCGAGGTTCCGTGCACGCGTGGTTGGAGCAGCCCGGACACAGGGGAGGCCCCATGACGGGCCGCCTCGATCCGAAACATATTGTGCGCGGAAGGGGTGGTGGTGATAATGATACTGGTAATGTTTGTCGCCGTGTTCTTGCAATGCATTAATTTGTTATCGATTGGACTGCAATCGATTGGACTGCAATCGAGTTGTTCCCCACATCCTGAGTGGGGGTCTTGTTTTCCCAGAACATCCTCTCCTTCTCCCTCCCGCCTCCCGCCTCCCAGTGCCCCTCCCACCCCTCCAGGGAGGCCCCGCCTGAGCGAGGAGGGTATCGGAAACCCATACTGTTTACATGGTTTCGTGCTCCTCCCACCCCTCCAAGGAGGCCCCGCCTAAGCGAGGAGGGTACCGGAAGCCCATATTATTTACATTGTTTCATGCCCCTCCCATCCCTCCAGGGAGACCCCGCCTGAGCGAGGAGGGTTTCGGAAACCCATACTATTTACATGGTTTCGTGCCCTTCCCGCCTCTCCAGGGAGGCCCCGCCTGAGCGAGGAGGGTATCGGAAACCCATACTGTTTACATGGTTTCGAAACCCTCCCATCCCTCCAGGGAGGCCCCGCCTGTTTCGTGCCCCTACCACCTCTCCGGGGCGGCCCCGTCTGAGCGAGGAGGGTATCGGAAACCGACACTATTTACATGGTTTCGTGCCCCTCCCACTGACATGGGTGAGGAGGAAGAGAACATTACCTATCCATCTCACGTCTTACTCCTCCCACTGAGGAGGGTGAGGAGGAGGGGGAGTTCTGCGATGAGGAACGCTTCATCATGATGATGGTGATGACGATGGTTATACTGCTGTTCACGATGACGATGACGATGGCGATAATGGTGATGGACGATGACGATAACGGTGATTATGATGATGATGGTGATGATGCTGATGATGATGACGATGATGATGATGATGACGATGATGATGACAACGATGGCGACGACGACGACGACGACGACGATGATGATGATGATGCAGATGCTGGTGATGATGACGATGCCGCTGCTGATGCTGACGTTGCTGGTGCTGTTGATGATGATGACGACGATGATGTTGATGATCGTGACGTCCACGATGATGCGGACGATGATGATGCCAAGGACGGTGATGGTGATGATGATGACGATGCTGATGATGATGACGATGGTGGCTACGACAATGATGATGATGA